ATAAAAGAGCATAATTAACATGAACCAAGAAAAAAGTTTACCAGGATTTATAGAAATGTATATGAAATATTACGGTGGGAATACTCCTTGCATAAATTTTTCCACATTTTTGTACATATTTTGCAGTAAAATATCATGTGTTGGCTCATAAAACATAATGGATTTTTCAACAGATCACGTGTACTTTTTTCTTATTGCAGTTTACATTCTTTTACCTTTAAAAGTAGTTTGGACAGTATGGTGTGCACTATCAGGAAATCATAATAAAAATATAAAAAACATACCCAAATGAAAAATTTAAGTATTTATTCTCTGCATCGATGTATTGATTCAATTTAAAGAAGAATTTTCAGTGTATTTTCTGAAATTGTTTTAGAAATCTGAGGATATACAGTGAGTTCATGTGTCATAAACTGTAAATGACAAAAATTAATAATGAATGCCTGTGCATGAAACTGCTTCCAGACTATTTTAAGCAAACATACACATAGAAATACAATGTGCACACAAAAGAACACAGTATGAAAGAATGCATTCAGTAAAAAAGACACTTTTATGATCCTTTTCAATTTATTTGACATAGGCAAATAAAAAAGGAACACTAAACTTTGAAAATTGATGACTGTTGATTTGCTTGTATAGGGGAGTTTGAAACGAAATACATTTTCAAATAAATCACAAATGGAAATGTGCATATATCTAAAAAAATTAAAAATAAAAAATAAAAAAAAGAAACCCCAAATCAAAATCACATTTAAAACCCATCCCTTTTGTATTTATAAAACACTGAATATACATGTGGGCATTACCATAGTCCTTTGTCAATCATTAGTTGCCACAAATTGAGGAGTTCAGTTAAACTGAACATACAAACTCACAAAGGCATTGGCGTTAATCTGTCTGGGGGGTGATTCCCTGCATCACCCACAGAACTGCATCCAGTTCCAGCAGTTGACTCTTGCTCCATGTCTAGGAATCTGGACATGAGCGGCTGAGTTTCTGTAGCACTGTTTGCTATTGGGACAATGGAGCCAGCTGCACAGATATTACTGGTTGAGGGTTCACTGGGGTCAGCACTGTCACTGTCACTGTCACTAGAAATTGTAATGAGAACAGGGCTGTTTTTTCCCACCCTCTCCTCACTATTATGTCTCCTGCTCTTCCTCTTGTGTTTCTTCTTCTTCTTGTGATGTTTCCGACTCTGACCCTCAGATTTGTCATCTCTGCTTGGACTCCTGCTTTTCCTCTTGAACTTTTTGTGATGCTTCTTGTATTTCTTTTTTGCATCATCTTTAACAGAATCAGTAAACAATTTGCAAGAGGGTTCCTCATGATGCTTTGTTTTGTATTTCTTTTTACTGCCATGATCATCATGCCGTGATGTCTGATGTGAGAAGCTGGAGTTGATTCTAGAATTGCTCCTTGAGCGACTTCTGTTCTGACGGTTGGAAGAGTTGACTCTAGAACTGCTCCTTGAGCGTCTTCTGTGCTGATGGTTGGACGAGCTAAACTTGATTCTAGATCTGCTTCTTGAGCGACACCTGTCCTGATGATTGGAGGAGTTGATCCCAAAATTGCTCCTTGAGCAACTTCTGTCCTGACGATTGGAGGAGCTGGACTTGATTCTAGAATTGCTCCTTGAGTGACTTCTGTCCTGACGGTCCCTGCTCCTTTTTCTTCTATGCGACTGAGAACGAAAGCGATCATGTACACTTCTGTAATAGCTGGTGTAGGATGAGCGTGTCTCTGTATAACATCTGCTGCTGTCTCTTTGACTGTAATGGCTATATGAATGCCAATAAGATGAGGTGTGGTGACTCGTCTCTTTTTCTTGTCTCCGCTTATGCTTGCTCTCTTTAGACAATGGGTGTTTCCTGCTACGAGAGGAGGAGTGTGTCCTGTTGCTGCGCAAGGATCCTTCTCTAGATCCCGACAACTCCCTTTCATGATGCCCTTTGCCATATTTATCTTCTTTTCTTGGGTGACTAGTGGTGTTCTCAGGTGAGCGAGAACATCTCGTTGGCCTCCTCGAGGTTCTCTGAGTGTCAGTGGGAGACAAATCAAACTCTGAAGTAAATCGAATGTGTTGGGGTGCCCGAGGGCTTCGTAGCTCTACATTCTGCTCAGAATGTTCTGAATCAGATGAAAGCTGGACCAGTTCTGGAGTCCTTTCTGACACTGACTTAACATAGCCGATAATAACACAGTCATCCTCACTGCTAGCGGAATGCTCCTCTTCCACTGCAATAGTGCCAGTATTTGCTGGACGGTCTTGATGTGGCACAGCAGCAACAGACACTACTGCTTCCCCTACACTACTATCAGAATCCGAGTCCCTCACAGGGAAAGGTAATACCTGCGATGGCTCTGAGGAGTAGGATGGCCCTGGGGTCTCATCATCCCATGCTGTTTGGCTTAAGGTCAGACTAGGAGTGGCATAATCCTGGGATCCTGACACTAAAGAATCACTTTCATCCTCAGAGATGGCGATCACAGAGGTTTCCGAACTGCTACCCTCTCCGGAGGGCCGAGGCAAGTCATAAACTGCACGCTGGTCATATGCCTCCATGTTGAACGGGGATTGAGCAAAACAAAGAAACTCATGTAGGAAGTGCTCTGTATGGGATAGCAAGAAGGGTCGAAGATCGTGTACAACAGCCTGGTCATCCAAGTTATGTCGAGTGATCAAAGTCATGATGATGTGCTGCACTATGTTGACAAGGGAACCGTGAGTGCCATACAGAACAGTCAGCTCTCGTCTCAACCAAGGCACAAGCCTGTGGAGACAAGCAGGATTTCTTCTGAAGAACTCTGCAGAAGTCTCCCTGCTACGACCACCATCCTGAACGCTCTGGACTTGCACACCTCTTCTGTACAAGGCCCGTCTGAATTTAACCATTTCTTGTTCGCAAAGACTTTGCACAGATCTTCCCTCTCTCTCTCTTCTTTGTCTTACTGCCAACCTCCTTAACATGCTGTGGAGATCTCTGTTGTGCCGCTGTGGAAGAGATCCCCTCAGGCCCTCAAATATGACCCCATGGTCAGGAGGAGGAGACGTTCTCCTTGGTGCTGGTCTGCGGTTGCCTGTAAGCGTGGTGCGATACCTGAATCTTTGCCCTGCCATGTTGCCAAATGAGCCATTTTCAGTTGGTCGCAGGTCAAACCTCTTGTAGTTATCTTCAGACTTAATGGTGTGATAAATTGAATTAAATGGCTGTTTGCACAAAGGGCATTCTGCTTTGTTCTTCGACCACTCATGGATGCAGCAGAAGCAAAACTTATGTAAGCACACATCCAGATATGATATGTTTTTGAAATGATCCAGGCATATTGGGCATTTTGATTCTGGAGATGCTCCTTTTGATACAGTGTTTAACACAACACCTGACAGGCGCTCCTTCATCTGTGGTGATGCCATAACCTGATGGAAGAAATATTTGAATTATTATGCTACTTGCATTTGCTACATGTATAAAATTGATCAAATGTTTACGTTTAAATAACATGATAAACGAAAAGAATAAGAATGAATTAAAACTCATTTTATTTTTTCTTAAATATCAAGTCAAAAATGTCAAGGTGATACAAATGTCCTGATATGAAAATAAAGAAAAGGTTTCGTTAAAAGCAAACCATATTCGACAGTATAGCATAATCTTTTATTATTTCTTAGGGGGGAAAAGTATTATTGTAACAAAACAGCTTCACTGTTTATTAATATTTGAAAGCCTTTCATCCGCCAAATAATTACGATATGAGTAAATAAATACGGTCACATAAATAGTATTTATGTGATCGTATTTACTCGTATTATTAGTTTTTCTCATTAGTAATAAACTAATGTCTGATAGAAATAACATAATATTGGCATTTTACCATGTTTACAAAATATAAACAAACCTATACGGTGTCACATTAGCTTGTTTATTTAAGCGCTATAAAAACATTTCTATAAAAAGTAGATAGAAAATAGAAATTAAGAAAAATATGAAAAACTTTCAAAATTATGTTTTAAACTTACTCTTTTATGTATTTGTCGAAACTTTCGAAGTACTTAGATTCTCTGAATTCCGCTGGAAGCATCTCGCTTAAATATCCGAAACAAACAAAAGAACATAATGACTTGCAGAGTTTAATACTTGTAGTAACGTTACTGTTTTACAGAATCCACAAAAACATGTTGACCTGAAGATAATGTAACTTACTGCCTAAAAAACCTGCGCCGTTTTAAAGATCAATACACGGTATACAAGAAGCCTGTAATGCATTATATCTTACGGATTATTGTTACAACTTTACAGCTGCAAATATATATAAAAAACACTTAATAATGACAAAAAAAAGATACAATAACTCGCAGTCCGTCTACATAAGCAACGTTGCTCATCATGACGTAACAAAACATGAAAATTGCGGAAGTGAAATCCTGTCAAACTTTCAGAACTTCCTATTTTTCACTTCAAAATAAAAGTCCATCAACCATACGCGAGACAAACGTCAAAAAATTAGATTTTAAATTTTGAAGCGTTAATGATGTATCAGAGATGAAGCTCCTTCTAGTTGTGGTTTATGCTTTTCATTTCATAATTTCGAAAATACTAAAACACTCTGTTGACTAAATAGCAACGACAAAGCTTGTGAGGAGCATTTTAAGAAAATATTTTAATTTAGTATTCTAATATTCAAACAAAGACTTCAATAGTTTACTGCTTTTTGGATTCCAAAGGCCCCCCCTTATTATTGTTTTTGTCTGATTTGACATTTAAAGCATTGAATTGTGATACGTTTTTCAAAATCATACAATAACAAATGTCAAAGACTGTGTTGTCAAGAATGTCACTATTGGCTCTTCAATTTGCTTTTTATTAAAATAATTCAAGACTCTTCTTTCATGGGAGATGTGTGGCGTAAAAAATTAAATTAGCTAAATTTTATGGATCTCAGAATGTACCCAAAAGGGTGCGATACTGTCATTCAAAGGCACAGAACAGGCATACAGAATCTGTATAATAAATTTTATTGACATAGTATACACACAAGCATGTTTTTTCAACCAGTGCTAACAGGTATGTCTATACTGAATATACACTGGCATCTTTAATGATGACCATGACTGTCTGCTTCAGGAAGATCTGGGACAACTTCTCCTGTTTCCAAAATGGTGTCTCCCTGAAAAACATACACATGCAAAGAAGGTGTGCATGAGAACATACATAAACATCAAAATGAGTGATTATTTGAAGGTAATTTACAAAACTCCTTTTGATTATTAGTGCAATAATGCTGTCTGGTCCAAATATACTTACAGGAAACAGTCTGGGTTTAAGAGCAACAATTCCATATGGCATTTTCTGTGGAAACAAGAAATATCTATTTGAACTTTATATCTAGGCATGACAATGATCAGCCAAAGCACAAAGATATTTGGTGTTACATTTTATCTTCAACCTTTGCACACATAATACAAGCCTTTATGAAAATATTTAGATTTCATTTATTAAATGTAACAAAAAGATGAATAAATCTGACATTCTTTGAAATAAGATATCAAAGGTCATAAAGGCTATGATTATATTTCATGCCTTCAATATTTTTTATAGTTTAGGGTTAACATAATAATAATAATAATAATAATAATAATAATAATAATGCATTTGTTATCTCCATTATACTAAATTTAAAAAACAAACTACATTATTATAATATTAATATTACATCATTACATTACTTTTTATTTCACAAAACAATGTGCATGCTCAACTGAAACCAAGCATTCTGTCAGTTTTGATATGTATCTAATGTAGTGGGTATTCAGAAAATAATGAAATCTTATCAAAGCCTTAGAGTTAGCCTTATAATGTTAACCTCTACAGTGGCTCGGACTTCCGTGTCCTTTTAGTACAGTGCACAAATTACAGTTCTGTTAAATGAAAGCAGTGTAACTGTAGATGAAACAGTATACCAGCACCATGAACTTACACTGACGTGGTACTTCACGTAGTAATGCACAATCCAGGCTGGGATCAGAATCCGCGTGACAGCAAAAACACTGGCATTATAGGCTTTAAATGTCTGGTTCATCCGCATAAAAAGAAGATAAGACAAAATTGCATGTTATATTAGTATTGTGCTGTTAAAAAATCTCAGAGAATTCAGTTCATTGCAAATACCTAAACACTGCATACATTTTTACTTTAGATGCGTTTAATCACACACACACA